TAATTATTGAAATTATATTAAATTAAATTGCACGGGAGACCCCCTCCTTTCGCTAATAATGTTAAATAATGTAAAAAAGTTAAATTCTACATTTTCACATGGACATTACGTAGGTTTCTCAGGATTAAAAAGATTTTCTAACGTTTTTGTGACTATCAAGGAAAGTGAAAAGCTGTCGAAGAAGATTGTTTAATTATTTAAAATGTTTTAAGGAAGTATTGTGAATTGTTCCAAGACTATCAGTCCACAATTCTAAATAAACCTTTATTGAAAATTTGTTTCGAAGATCAATTACACTGTTCTTTCATTTTCATTTAATACTTAGTACATTAGAAGTTACCATTATACACTTTTTAAACAAATAAAAACGTTTCGCTAACGTGTCCTCTTGTAATGGAAATTGAAGGATAGGGAAGAGGGTGGAATTTCACATGCGAGAGATGTCGCACGGATACGCTAGATTTTAATTGCGTGTAGGCGCGAATGTATTAAATGTTCAAGAGGTATGAAATTATTGGAAAAGTGATTTTGCTGACGGCTGTGTTTGATATTGTAGTATAAAGGTTTGAATTCACACATGTGTTCTCCATGAAATTGTTCTTGACTTAGTTGTAGTAAATTAAGCATTATTATTACGTATTTGCGAGCTGTACGAAAGAAAGTGAAACATATTGTGAATGATTTACGTTTTATGCTGAAACTATGCGAGATGGATGAATTTTTGTCGGGAAGTGTTTTATTATAGTGAAGAATAAAAGGAAAGCTTTGGATGGTGAAAGGCTGGTTATTTACATTAACGAGAATAAGTTTGGCAGGAAGAAGAAGTAGAATTGAAGTTATAGAGTAACGGGAAATATGTATTTGATGGAAGTGAACTATGTCAACGCTGTTACTTTCATGAAATTGTCTAGAAACTGTTAATCTAAATCAGTACAAAAATTACATAAATTAAAAACGAGCTTTTGAGTGTTTGCAGAAGAATTTATTGAGAGAAGAAAATTGTTGTCTAGACGGGTAAATAAAAATTATGACGATGCTTATTGTACATACTTTATTTCACAGTACAGTAAAATATTTTGAAAACTACATCTAAAGTAGTAGCATTTTCTATATTTTCTTTCTAATAAAATACTAACATCTCTAATGCCGAAATTTAAATATATTTTATTGCTGAAGTCATTCTCGGTTGGTGAACTTAAAGGGTAAATTTTTACTCTCACAAAGTTTTCAGAACTATCTTCTTCACTTCAGAACAACCATTTACAAAATTGATTTCTGAGAGTTTTTGTAATAGCTGAGTATCAATGTTTTGCTAAGCAAATAATTTTTCAAATTGTTTCTAAAATTCCAACTTCACATACAATTCAGTGCACTTTAGCATCGCCCTGTGGAAAACAAAGCGTCGTTAACTTCATGGGTGTGGGCGTTTATGCAAGATGGCGTTGACTTCAGACTCTGATCTGTATTCTGACTGGATGACGTACTGCACCAAGAAGGCCGTATTTTCGGCCGCCATTTTGCGGTTGCCCAAGATACAAGCCCAGCGAAAGGTATGCTATAGGGATCAGTATGTTTAAGGCAAGAGTTCCAACACTTACTGACGTAAAGATTATACAATTATAATGACGTATGACCAAGGAAGGTAAACTACATCTAACAATTAGTATCTTCATACAACAAAAAATTCTCAGGCCTTTCTAAACGAATTTAAATAGGTGATTGAGAGACGTGAGTACATAAAGCATTACCATACTATTATTGTCAATGCTTTTTTCTTGTTTAGAAAATGGAATTTCTCTGATTAGGGGTATTAAGTGAAATCTGGGAAGAAATGAAACACATTTTATAGAAACAATACATGTGCTAATTTCATAAGACGTTCTCCTTGGCAGCGGCGCTGTACGGACGTGTCCGCAGCTCTGCTAACCTTATCGTGATTCGTGAAGGATTTCCTTAGTGATTGCGTATACCTTCGTAGATTTAAAGCATAAATAGCGCTTTAACTAGTCATTACTATTATTTAAAACGTAAACAGTATCTAAAAGAACAATTAACTATAAAAGAGTTTTCGTATGAAGTCACGGCAACATGTAGTAAGAGTGCTGCGGATATTACGTGGACGACTACAACCAACACAATGGAATCAGCAGAATTATCTGATGGAGGCGACCAAACATGGGTGAAGTCTCATCAAATCCAGTAGATGTAACACAGCGGCTATCGCAAGCATGCAAGCAAGCTCGATCGAAGAGGTCGAATACAATAATTTGCCCTACCTCGACCCTGAAGTTAGAAGGGTAAGGCAAAAGACAGCGTCTAGCGATAATAATAGCAATTATGTCATTACAATTCCTACCGCGAATAAATTCAGTGCACTCAGGGTTGAAAATTTACCAGAAAACAATGGAGATTTCAAGAAAATTGTAGTTCCGCCAATCTTTGTCCCCGACGTAAACAATGTACCAACTATTATAAAAGTTTTGCAAAAAGTTGTAAAAACAGAAGACTTTGAAAAAAAACCAATGACAAATAATATAATTAAAACATTACCAAAAACTCCGGATGCATATAGAAACATAGTAAAACATTATCTAGTGGAAAACGTTTATTAAACAAACCAATTAAAACAAGAACGAGCATGTAGAGTGTCTTTGCGTCACGTACATCATACTGTTGATGTGAAAGACATTAAAAAAGTGCTGTTCGTATTGGAACATAAGGTTCTCGAGTTTACCAGGAAATTCTAAAAAGGAAAGGCCACAATAACTCAAAAAAGAGATAAGAATCTTCCAAAATGATATGATGATGCATCCGCAAACTCATAATTCAACAATTAATCCTCAAATTTACAACAGAAGCTCCCAAGTTAATAGAAGAACGTATGCAGATAGTGTACAAGCAAAGCACACAGAACAACATCGACCACATAATGATGACAGCCACTCCATACTTAACATCATACAACTCTCCTTTGAACGATTTGAAAATGTTCTTACGCAACAAAGTCAACAAATAAATCATCAGTATCGACATCGGTAACTAAATTGTCCAATGAATAACTTACTTCGAATAGCAACCTGGAATGCTAGTGGTCTGGCGCGACATCGCCCAGAAGTCGAAATATTTCTCTCAAAAAATGAATTTGATATACTCTTCATCTCATAAACTCACTTTACAGAGAGGAACTATTTTAAATTGCAAATCTATACACTGTATGACACAAAACATTCGGATGGCAAAGCGCACGGAGGTACGGCAATATTAATTAAACGCGATATCAAACACCGAGAAGATTGTGCATTTCAATGTAGAGACACTGAAGCAACTACAATAACAATAGAAGACTATCAAGGAGCTCAAAGTAGATGCTCGTATATATTGTCCTCCGAGATTCAATATTGATAAAGCACGTTTCAAAATATTTTTCAATAGCACTGGCTCTCGCTTTGCATGCGGAGGAGGCTTAAATGTCAGATACGTGCAGTGGGGTTCGAGGCTTATTACTGCAAGAGGTAGCGAACTAGAAAAAGCTGCAACATCGTTGCGACTACTAACCATCTCTACAGGAGAACCGGCTTACTGGCAAACTGATATATACAAAATACTTTTTCTAAAACATTATTTCGTTTCTTACCACTATTCACCTCAAGTAAATTGAACATTTTATCAGACAGCTCTACAACTAAAACAAAACAACAATACCTGATGTATGAAAACAACTCTACTTCTGACAAGGACCACAGCTCACATAGCACAGAAACTAGTTTCTTGCCCAACTGCAATATGGCGATGTCCATGATGAAGCGATAGCTTTTCTACTGTGGGAATCTAGTTAGTACGGTCATCACTAATCATCCAGTTAGTACGGAGATCACTGACTTCAGTTATCCATAGTTTTACATTGTCTCCGCCATGATCGCTAGCTATATACGCGCGTATCCGTAACTAGCCAAACTAGTGGTCCTACGAAAGCACCATTATAGTTTTTAAGCATTATTATAGTTTTTGCGAAAACTGAAAGAGTGGGAACGTATGTTCATGCAGGTAACGTCGTACGAGTGACATTCTTCAGGTATCAGTAACAACCGCTCACTACAGGAAATCCACTTCTATATTAAATACATATGCATTTTACCAAACACTCGAAGATGACATTAAACGATTACAATCGGTGCCAATTGAAATATTTTATTGCTGCATAACTGTTTCTGCACAATTAAAAACTATACTCACTAACAAAAATTAAAAAAAAAATTATTTTAACAAAGATATTCAATAAACATTTTGTGTAACATTTTGTAGTTACCATTTGTACTTTATAATTTTAACGGACTAAATATGCTGCAACAAGTAATGTAAGTACCTATAGCTGCTTCTGCGTCAATGGCCACCCGTTTGATAAGGTTTTCGTCCTGTTTCTCTGATTCCACGAGATGGCGCTTCGCTTTGCTTGTGGCCAGTAAATGTAGCTTCATCATGTGCACATTTTGTTGAGCTGCGCTTTCACTAGTAACGATAGCAGTAGGGCCGGGGTTCGGGGTTGTTATTTTGTCAGCAATAAAATTCTAAAACTTACTCGAAATTTCTTTTTGTAGTTTCTAAATGTTGGTGACCACGCTTTGCGGGTACCTTTATCCACAACACAACTACAAAAGAGTGGGGTAGGGACCCAAAATCTCACGAAAATATTATACTTCTCCCTCATTGGATATTATAGTTTTACTGTTTATTTATAAGGAATAAACCAAATGCGTGATTTAGCCGGATAATTCGCGAATTAGCCACAGTTCGGACTTTAGTCATAACATAGTAGCACATGAATATCCTCGGACTAGCTTTTGAGGTTCACGCTCGAGTGAAGACCTTTCTAACGTAGTAGGTACATCCATTTTGAAAATAAATAAAGGCGTTTCTTGCGTCTCCCGGGGCGCCCGTCGCCGCCCACGCGTCCGCGCGCCCGTATCTCCCGCGGCGGGGCCGCGGGTGGGGGCGTCCCGCGCATGCGCGAACGTTTTCTCCGCGGCCGCCGTGGAGGGGGGAGCTGCGTGCGGGCCGTCGCCGCCGCCGCCGCGGCCAACCTCGCGCACTGGCCGTGCAAGCGCGGCGCTGTGTTGAGGTGCGCCCCGCCGTCCGCGCGCCCAGGCCGCGTGCAGGCGCTCTCGCCCGCGCGGCGTTGTGTTGTCGCCCAACGGTTGCCTGGAGACGGCCGCCGCCGCCGCCGCCGACTCGATCGAACGCACCACCGCCGCCGCCCCCTTGCGTGCGCCCGTGCCTCGCGCTTGTGTGTCGATTGTTGCCGCGCGGTGCTGCTGTGTGCCGGTCCAGTGTCGGAACTGACGGAGACATGTGATGTGAACACTCGAGACGCCGTACGAGGAAAGAGGAAGAGAAGAGTTGTTTTCGAGCTTTGAAGACCACATGTGAGGTCTAGGACGACGTTGGATAACGCAGTCATCTAGAAGCTGGAGCCGATTCTACCGACAAAGAGATACGTAAGTACATAATTTATTACGTACGTATTTTGTCTTTCAGAGTAAGCTGAACGCACGAATGAGCACATTTATGAATTAAAAAACTAAATATTCTCAACGTTTTGGAAGTATCTACTTCCCCACTAGTGTAGTCAATAAACGTTAATTTTGTCACATGTCATCGAAAGTAATTCAAGATTATTTCTTCACTTTTCCTCGTAACATCTGTTGTCGCTTCATAGTGGTGGAGAGTAGCGGAACCTTCTTTAATAAAAGAAACTTTCTCCCTAAAGATTTCCAACGAGCTCCCAAAGCACTAAAGAAGCGTCGGGAAAAAGGAGTCTGTGGCGCTCGAAGGGGCAATACCTGCTTCCCGCGGGGACGCGCGAACGCCTCGGGAGACGGGAGCGAAGCGGGAAGCGCGCTTTCTCGGCGGCCGGCCAGACGTTTCGACCGCGCCGCACTCTTCGCTCCGCGGGCCGGTCTTCGTTCCGATTTCTAACTTCGCGGCACAGTTATTTGTCCTTTGGCGTCATGTTAGCTCACGGCCTAGCGAGCGTCATAGCGCACCGTTTATCTGATTTTAATTGTGTGGATAATGTACACGTAAAGTGGACGAAAATACACGTAACCAAAGTTCGAAAATGTTTTAAACAGCAAAGGGGAGGTGAAAATATTTTTTTTAAATAGTTAATTTTCTGCTTCGGTGTTTTGTGATTTAACTTTTCGTTATTGGTAAGTTTCATTCATGTAAAACAATGCAAACTTTGTTGAAGTCGTCGCTGGAAGAATTCATTATTTTGAACAACTTTTGATGAAAGTAATATTATAAAATTAGAATTATATTAAAATTGTAAATATATTTTTCATTACATTTACAATAATTAACAAAATGTTAATATAACTATTCTATACATAAATTACTTTAACTCAACGTTTTTTTTTAAATTGTCGTTCTAAGGATCTTAATTGAACACTTTCAATATAGCTTGATGAACGTACTCCAATGACTGAACAGACCCATTGGATAGAATATTAAAAAAATCACAACTTCCGGAACATGCATACGTTTTTAAGGGGATATTATTACTATTATTATTATTATTATTATTATTATTATTATTATTGTTATGTTCCGTTATGCACATGATTTTCTAAGTGAATTCAATAGTCTTCCTGAATTTTACCCAAGTGTTAATCATATCTTCAAGTATTCACAATGCTTCTTAAACAATTCAGAAATCATTGAACAAGTCATTGTTTGAAATCACATACTTCGAAGATTTTGAAGTGTTCGATTATCAACGAAAATTGCAATGAACAATCAATACATCACAAATTTCATGTAACTTGTAATTGATGTCTTCGAAATCAAAAAAGAAAAATAATTTTCATATATGTATTATTTCATACCATATACCTTTAAACTTCTTAAGAGCGCAGCACAACTTAACATTATAAAATTCCAGAGAAAGAATTTCCAAATAACATTTCATATTTAATTAAAGGTAGTTTGAGAAGCTCAAGAAGTTGCGCTGGAAATGTAATTATGTCAGAACTTTTCTACGAAGAAAGAAGTGCATAATATTGAAACTTTTTTGTAAAGGACAGAAAATCTAGTAAAGATGAAACAGAGCTATGATAATCAAGTGAAACGAGATTACATCAATTCGGTAATGTAAATCATGCCTTGAAAATAAACAAACAACTCGGATATTACATTGCAAATATTTGAGTTAATCGCCACAGAGCGCCTAAATTTATATTTCATTTTTTATTCATTCACAAGTCATCTGATCAACTAATGAATCTTAAATGAGTGAGTTGTAACAAATACATTTCTGGCAAAAGGTAATATTTTTACCGAACAATTATTATATGCAAAAAATTGTTATCATTTATAACTGAAAGTGAGCCTCTCCATGACCCTTGGGGGCGAGGACCGGGCTAGTTTTAGCACACATGAATGTTCCTCTAGAAAGTTTCAACTCTTTATTCCAGAAATTTTTTCGTAGTGTCATTTTCTTCCAATATGTCGGTATCTGAAATTCTCTCTCTGTATTCAGATGTGTCGAATTGAAAGTCATTAAATCGTTGGTTTTCTTGAAATCTTCAAAAATAAAGCAAATGCTATATTTAGGACAATTTTATATCAATAGCTACATATATATATTTTACGATTTATGAAAAATACTACCTAAGAGTAAAGTATCATTTTTCTCATCACCGAACATACTGCAAAACCGAAAATTTAATTTTGTCAAAAATGTTCCAAAATTAAGCGTTTCACTCTTCTCCGTATTCATCCAACCTCTGAACGCCATGTGGGAGCGGAGGTATTAACCTTTTGAATTCCCATAGGGCCCTCTGTAACTTACACCTGCAGCACCTGCAGCAGCAGAGAGAGCGAGCGTTTTATGAGGCTGAGAAGATCACGGCGGCGGCGTCTCGGCAACTAGTCATCGCCATCCCGCTCCCGCCCCCGCCCGCCCCGCCGCTCCGCCCCGCCCTGCTCCGTCCCGCCCCGCCCAGCCTGCCCGCTCTTTCCTGCCCCCCCCGCACCTCCCGCCCCTGCCCCGCCCCACCACCTGCGCTCCTTTCCGCCCCCGCTCCGTTCCGCCCCCGCCCGCTTTCGCCCAGTCCCACGCCGCCCCGCCGTGCGGTTGTTCTCTCGTTTCCGCCCCCGCCGAATTCCGCCGCGTACACCGCGTCCTTGGTCCACTTTCTCCGCTGGCGGCGGCACCTCTGCGCCCCGCCCATTCGCTGCGGGGGAGGGAACAGATAGAGGATTGATTGATTTGCGGGCACGTCGGCTGCTATGGTCATTAGTCCTGTTAGTGTATAAATGCTTTATCACGGAAGGGGCGGTGAGATCCGGCGTCAGGAGGGGAAGGGGCTCAATATTCTCAGTGTGTGCTGTTGCTTTGTTATTGCCTGAAATATCTTCAATGATAAATTATTTTTCATTTCCATTACTTTGTTTCACACTGATTATATCGAAAAGACTGTACTTAAAATATGGATAAATTATTTTTCGTTTCCATTACTTTGTTTCACACTCATTATATCGAAAAGATTGCACTTAAAATATGGAAATAATCGTCAGGTTCGGTTTTAGACAAGCTCTACTGTATTTAGATTGATTCTGTTTTTCAATCTTCATCGTTGAAGAATTTAAAACAATGATATGATGACATCTACTGTAAAGTAAAGAACACGTAATGTTAAGAATCATTGTCAAATTAGCGTAATTTTTAGAAAAAATGATGCCGAACCTTGCCTTTTTTTGCTCTAATACACTCTTAGTATGGTTCTCGCATATTTTACAACGAGTTATTTTAGGTTTTGAAGTAAAAGAGAAAAGGAAACCAATTCAAAATTTTCCTTCATGTACGTCCAACCATTTTTCATTTTAATCCTGCTACAGGCCATTCCTCTACACAAAAGCGTGTATGACACATAATTTCAGCTTAAAAGTAACACATACGTTTGGATAATAAACAAAGAATATTCTACTTTTCATGAAATTTGGCACGCGTCCTTGTAAAAATGGTTAGAAAGCATCGTGACCCGTTACCACAAGTGTAAGATTGCCTCGTTCGCGAGCACCTTCCAGCTTTTCCCTCGGGCTTCGTATCCACTTGCCAGATTGGCTTCGATCTAGTGTGTGCGAGGCTTTTCGAACAACACACGAACGTTTTGCTGCGCTGCCTTTTCATGGCAAAGCGTTGGCCTGAAGCCACCAGACACTTCGTGTAGCCTGCCACCCATCGATCTCCTAGGAAATGCCATTAGGAAAACAAGATCAGCGCAATTCCCTGGTGGATCTTCGTCAGGAAACAAATGAACACTTGAGACAATTGCAATACAAACATTTGATTACGAAACAGATGCGTCTGGCGTTGATAAGCTTTTAGTATGCATACGGATGTTAAGAAAGCTGATGCATTTGATATTCTAATCGTCGGAAAATACTCGAAACCACAGACCTTCTTAGCTATGAAATTTTAAACACTAGTGACCTGCCACAGCAAATCTGCTACAGTCGATTGTGGAAAATAGGCCCCTGGAGCGGCTAAAATTTGCAGTTCGAGGACGGCATACGTGAATGTTGAGGTTTATTTCTTCCTCGTCGAACGAAGTCAGCTGTGACGTAACTGAATAAGAGCATTCAGTCTGTAAACGTAATATGAGCATAAGCGGACTAACAGTCAAATTTTTACGTTTTGAGACGAAACCGAAAAGTTTTTTTTGTTGCAATTTTTCCGGATTTTCAAAAGGAAACTATTGATACCTGTCACATGGCCGGAGGCTGCTTATCAATTTATCCCATCAATTGATGTGTATATTCAAAATTAGTAATGCAGATTCTGTTAATAAACTGATATTCGTACCAAAAAAACTATTTCATATTTCTTCTTGTAATTATTTTCATTATTATTAATGTTGTTATTATTATTATTACTATTATTATTGCTGTTATCATTATTATCGTTATTATTATTATTATTATTATTATTATTATTATTATTATTATTATATCCGGACTCCCGTTCTACTGAGGTACATAATGATATTCTGCAGTGATAAAGATTGCAGTATTTAAATATGTGTATGTATCGTCATATGACGTTGGTACAAAAGGTTTAAGGTACGAATGTTTCCCTCGTCGCTTTGCCTGCGGTTCTGGGGGAAAGGTCCGCTGCACCGCATGCGTCGCCCCCCCCCCCCGACCGCTTCCGGGGTGCCGCCGGAGCACCTCGCCCCGGGGGGGGGCGCGTTTCGTCTTTCAGGGAGAGCCCGCGACTTCCGGCGGCGGGCGGCGACGACAGGTGCGCAGCCGCTTCCCCCTCCCCCTCTCGCCACGCACTGTAACGCACTGTCCTCCACTCGAACGC